AACATAAATTAATTCAATTTATTATGTATGTATAAAATAAATTAAGAGAACATCCAAGTATTAGAGCTAACTACTGACAAAACAGAGAACCTAAGACTCTATTTAAAGTGTAAAAGGGGAGATATCCAATGCCATTATTAGCTTTGTATATAGAAGGATTCAGTGGCACATGCAGCAAATGTAACTATTGATATAAAAACCGTTTTTCTGTACTAACAATTTATTAATAAGTAAATAAAAGAGCATTAGAAAAGGACATCCAGTCTTCCAATTATACAAACCCATCTTTTCAGGACATTCAAAATTGGCATATGCAAGTGCCCAGGCCCATAAAAACATCAAGCCTGCAGTCCCCAAAGCCCTGGAATTAAGGAGAGAGGTAAAAATGGGGTTACAAAGTATTGGGGCTGTACATTAAAGCATAAGCAGAGTGTTGGAACAGAGAGGGTGGTGAACAAAGGCCACTAACCAGAAATGCACTTCAGAGTCAAGTCAAACCCTTCTCAATTGAAAACATAGTGCCAAAATTTAAAAATAATTAAAAAATAATTAAAAAGCAGAAATCCTACTGAAGGAAGATGGAGGCAATTTATGGAGAATTGAAGGTATTCATCTAGAAGATGGTTAAGCAGGATGAATGGAAAAAAGACCCAGACTGGGATTTAAGTAAAGAGATGTGAGCACAGGCTGCTCTTCCTTATGCCACCATCACCCCAAAAATCAAAAATGAAATAGTTCTTCCAGTTGTACACTAAAGCAAATTAAGCAAAACTACAGCTACTTCATTAATATCAGTTTGCTGCTGCAGCACAGATGAAAAAACTGTGACAAACTGTCCTTCACAAAAGCAACAAAACCTGTAAGATCAGCAGAATCTATTCTGCAGTACCCACAATGCTCTCTCACACAAAGCCACCATCTTCAACCCAAAAAAGACCTGGTATGAAATATTACCATTCAATAAAAAAATCATTATTTGGTCCCTTAAGTAGGCCCTGAAGTAGAAGGCTGTGATGAAAATTTATCAAGCATTTTTCTCCAAATGGAATGCATGCTCCTGTACCTTAGGAGCTCTACAGTACATGAAATTTTAACAGAATACTTAATGTCTTTCTAGGTTTTATAATACCACAAAGAGATACTCATCATGTGTTTTTACCACAGCAGATAAATGCTAATGCCTCTAGTACACAACACTTTCACAGTGGCTTGAATACGAGTCATCTTCCACTCTCTTGGTGAGCAAATTAATGGGATCAATAAATTTTTTAGTATCTCCAGATAAGACTCTTTACCTTCACAAGCCTGATCAGTAAATTCATGATGTACAGAAGGGACCACAAACAACTTGTTATGTGGATTCCCTGAAAGGTTAGTCTGCTCTGAGAAACAGAAAATGTCAAAGGCCTGGGAGTTTTCAGATGTGAACCCACGTCCTGATCTGGGAAAGGTTTGTGGAAGATCCTAAAGGTCAGATGTGAGGGTCTCCCTTATCAACAAGGTCGTATGTTAAGTTAAACTGAAACCAAGAGGAGTGTACTCCCTGGAACCACAGCACTCTGATTACAGTAAATGTATTTTTAAAGGGCAAGAAGTTTTAAAAGTGATGCTTAAAAGCATATTTACCAGAATAAAGAAATACATACATTAAAAAAAGTTGTTTTCAGGTAATTTCCATAAGTATTTCCAGTGGCATGAAATTTAAAGCTACTTCCAAATGACAAAAAAAAAAAATATCTATTTGTAGCTATTCATCTTTGATTCCTTCTGATTGAAAACAATAATAATTTCAGTAGAGATTAAAAAAACCAACAACAACAAAACAAACACAGCTTTTCTGCATATTTTAAACTGGTATTTACTGGTAGCATATTTTAAACTTTGTATTTACTTTTGTTACAATCAGAAAATTTTGTTAATTTTATCTTGTGACATTTTGCTTTGGTTAAAAGAAATGATGATTTAGAGCCTTGTTATCTTGTAGGAGAGATGCATGAGAAAAGGGCCATTATCTCTCTGTACAAGGGGAACGTGCAGGCACTAAAATACATCCTTGGCTTTGAGCTAAACAAACCTTGAGCAGACAGACACAGGCTTAGAGTAGCTTGAGAACAGAAGAGGAAATTCCACCAGAATTACTTCTGCCCTGTCAGGTTTTTGGTTTTGTTTTCATTTCAGGGGAGGTTTTGAGCATGTACAACCTCCCTTCAACCTCCTCCTACCTGGGTTATCTGACAAGTTTGAGCTCCTTTATCTGCAGGGCAGTTCAGTGCCCTGCTCCCCATCCTTCCCTGTCAGCCATGGCAGGCTCTGATGTTCCTCCTGGAAGCACACACTGTCCAGGGAGGGCCTTCCCTTGGGACAAGGGGATGCACTTCAGCAGCTGAGGCTGTTCCCCTGTGGGCAGCACTGCTCTAAATAAATAGAGCTTGAGCTGAGTTGGTGCCAGGTGTGATCCTGGCCTGGTTTGGGGCTCCTGGCAGGGATGGTGCCTCGTGCCGATGCTGACACCGCGGGATGTGTGGGAAGGAATCTCCCACTCCACAGGACCATTCCAGCTGCAGTCTGCTCAGTGGCTGAGTATCACCTTCCTGCTAGGTGGATCTACATTGTTCTGATTAATTTGAGGAAAGCTGAGCTGATTCAGAGTGCTCAAGTCCAACACCACTGAACACATTAAAACAAGCAAAGCCCCCGGCTGTCATTGGAACACTGTTCCCATTCCCTACATTCAGGGACAATGATAAGATTTCAGGGTGGCAGAAAGCAAAGCACTTCCCTGGGACACACCACCATGGAGCAGCTCCTGGGCAGGGTGCTTTGTTTTGATTCCTCCTGAAGCTGCACCCTTCCAAGAGACTCCAACAAGTAGAGGGTAGGAGAGAAACTCAAAGGAATGGAGTGGTGGCTACCTGGGTTCCACACTGGTGCAGCGAGCTCCTCACTCCCTCTGCAGAGACACAGGAATGAAAGACACTCTCCTGCTTTTTGTGATGTTATCACACTGCTAAATATAACAAAAGCAACACCTTCCCTTTTAAAAAAGGCAAGGTTAGATGAATGGTCAGGGAAAAAAGCTCATATTCTCCCTAGGGCCAGGTTTCAGCATTATTATGCAAATAGAAATTGGCTTATGCTGTGAATTCACCTGAGGGAATGGGCCCCAGAATCTGAAAACCGAAGGATTTCTCAAGGTGAGCAAAAGCTACAAGCTCTGGCCTAAGGTTTGGAGCAGTTTTGGAGGACTGTGCTTCTCCAACTCCAGCCAAACCCTCTCAGGGATTCTATGGTTCATTTCTTTAAAAAATCCCAGTTAGTTTTCCATGGAACTAGACACTTCCACCAGCAACTCACAAGAAACCCTTTTGCCTTGCAAGAAACATATCAACAGAAGATAACTTACTGATTTATTTTGTAAATGTTGTGTTTTAACAAACATGGAAGCCTGATACTGGGAATTGATGATTTCTCTCATAATAAATGTTGAGCCATATATAGGCCAGTGTTATGAGGCTCCCATCACAGCAAAAGGCCCCTTTTATTAATGGCTACTTTATCATTTAAAACATGCATGTTGTTACTTAAAATGGCAAATTGCTTTGCACTGTCCTTGAAATGCATTGCATAAATATTGTATTCAAGCCTTAGCTTACACTTCATAAATAATTTATTTTTAAAATACACTTCCATGAGACCACCAGCTGGCAAGATGTTCAATTTTCTGGTAAAAACATGTATTTATTGCAAGTCTTATTTTAACTTGTTGGAGATTTGCTAAAAGCCACATGTGACAGATGCTGTAAGAACTGTATTCAACCTAAAACCTCAGGAAGCTGAAAGCCTCATTCTCCTGGTAGGTTTTGTACCTCTGCATAAGCAGTTTCTTTGCAGGAGAAAAGCTGAAATCTATTCAAGGAAGCTTTCAAGTACTATTTTCTGATAACCCAAAAATGACTGATAGCACATGATGATCAGAAAAGTTTATAGATTTCATTACAATTCTTTTCACTACAATCCTTCCTCCACCATTTCCATTTCATGTTGCTGCATTTAAACTGCTGTACAAACTTGTTCAAAGTGCTTGACATTAAAAAAAAAAAAAAAATCAAAGGAAATTTCAGATAATTAACTTTGATGAATGAGCATATTTTAATTCATGTCTGGTAATATTCTTGTTAATGACATGTCTGCTTAGGACATCCATTAAAAGTCCATTAACTTAACAGGGAAAGTCTAATAAAGTTATCCTGGAAATTTTCTGGTATATTAACGTTATGGACTTTTAATGAATATCTGCTGTAGGAACTGCTATTAGCAAGGCTACTATTCTAATTAAACTTGGGCTTTGAGAGTGAAAAAAAAATGTTTAAAGATAACAACAAGCAGAAGCAGCACCTTTTTTGAAAATGACTATAAGGGAGATAGGTACAGGTCACAAATCATGCTATAAGAACAGCTGTAAATTACTATATTGTAGCTTTTTTTGTAGCCTGCCATCCAATACACCTATATCAAGTGTGTCCTTCATGTCATCAGTTGCTCAGGCTCCTTTTTACTCCTCTATTGTTGAGACTGAGCAGTACAGAAAGGCCTTCCAGGCCTTTCTGAAGAGTAGGAGATAAAAAATTTAAACACAGTTTCTCATAACAATGCAAAGTAAAAAATGCACTTAGGAAGTTCCCTATGGGCATCTCAGCAAGCCATTTGAAGCTGCTGACATTAACAATAATATAGCAAGGTAACTTTTTATATGTATATATCTTTTACTCATAGAATCAGAGAATGGATTGGGTTGGAAGGGACCTTAAAGCTCATCTCATTCCAACCCCTTGCCATGGGCAGGGACACCTTCCACTAAACCAGGTTATTCAAAGCCCCATCTCTTTATATATATCTTTTATATACATATATAAATATACATAAAGCTTTTCAATAATATGAATATATGTATATTTATTATTATGAATATATGTGTATATTAAAACCCAACACAGACATACCTATTTTTTCATACTTATCCTTCACCAAATCTTCCAAGCCAATCATTTTCCAGAAACCGTCATCCCAACCTCTATCTGATGAGTATGTCCACTTGCACACCACTGTACAGAGAGACCTAGGAAAGAGACAGTATAGGCACAGAGTCAGGCAAATGAACACATTTGGATTTAAAAACAAGTTCCTGCAAAAGGATCTCTTCTCCACTGGTCAAAAACTCCAGCAGAATGCTCACATTAAAAAAAAAAAAACAAACAACAACTGGTTAATGCTTGGAGTGCACATCTTGAGGGCCTTAAAAGGACCTTGTGTTTAAGATTCTTCTCTGCTGAAACAACTCCTGGTCTGGCCACTTCACTGCATAAATCAGTCAAATAACAGGCTGTGCATGTGCCTGGGGAGAGCGGGGCAGGAACACAACAGCTCTGGAGCAGGCAGCTCAGGGTGCTGCTCTTCCAGCCTAAATGGCTGCTTTGCACACAGCCTGTCCTTAGGAAAATTGGTGTTACCTCTCTTACAACTGAATTACAATTTCCAGGATGATGGGATCAGATGCACAAGTCTCATTCCTGAGAAGCTGATGTTAAACTCTGCTGTGCCAGGACAACACCACGGGGCACAGGCAGGAGAAGAATATACACAGAGGAAAGTCTGTCCTAACACACAGAATGGTTTTTATCAATATCCCTGACCTTATTCCTCCCCAAAGAATGAACAATATTCCTGATGATTTAGTATTACACAGGTTGTTTTCTCAAAAGATCAATATTAAACTGCTTGAAAAGTCAGTCAACTAAAAGGTCTTAAAAATGCTAAATACCATTGAAAACTGCAGTTCTGTGTAGTCCTGGGAATACCACAGTACCAGCAAGTGCAAGACAGCTCAGATGCATCTTGGGGAAACACATCATCATAACTGTTCTCAAAGAGAAACCCTGCTCAGAGGTGGATTTTCTTTGATGTTTTACAAGACAGCTTATTTGTGACTCATGTTTAGCCAAGGTGAGCTTACACAGACATAGTCTCTTTATTAGGATGGTACAATTTGAACATGTATCTTCAAAGCAAACTCAGTTTAACTGAAGCATTTGACTTTTTCTTGCAGTTTTGCATAAGTAAAAACCAAATAAAATTTCTCTCTTCAAAATTATTGTTTGGAGTAAAAGTAAATCTTCCTTTTCATCCAGGAAAACTAGCCAGGGACTGAAATATGAATCACAGAATGGGTTGGGCAGGAAGAACCTTAAAGCTCATCTTGTTCCAACCCCCTGTCATGGGCAGGGACACCTTTCACTACCCCAGGTTGCTCCAAGCCCCATCCAACCTGGCCTTGAGAAGAAAAAGAGAAGCAATTTTTATTTCCTATCTGCAAATCAAAGTTAGATCTCATAGCCACTGATACTGCAGACAGAGTAAAGCCTAAAAAGAACAGGAAGAGCCTTTCCACACAGCAAGAAGCAACATCATCTTATGTGACACTGAACAGAAGATGGCATGGTTACATGGACTCTCTAAATTACCACTTTCTCATCTGGGACAGAAATGTGTCTTTTAAATGCCTCATGTATCCCTCCATCCTGTTTTACTGGAGTAACCATGTTTTTACAACCAGAGGACCAGTGACGGTCATTCACATCCCACTGGTTGTAAAGGTGTGTTGGTTGCTCTTTGCTGCAAGAGAATAATTAACATTATATATTTGGGGGGGAAAGACATTAATTATTTATATCCTTATAAATAAATGCAGTCAATAAATGCAGATTTTTTTTCAGGACTACTCTTAAAACACTTCTGACACCCCCACCCCCCTTTTTATTTCTTCTTAATAATTTAAGAATAGACCACACAATCACAACTCAGTGTCTGGTTTGAAAACAGAAAAAGCACGTGACCTGTAACTACAGCAATGACAATGTTGATATAAGGAATTCCAATTTCCAAGGATTTAAAAGCCAGACACAGAAATCTAATTAGGACCTTTGACAAAAACTGGGTGAATAAATAAATTCTAGGCTGAAGAAAATACTGGGAAAAAATAAACATTTTCCCCAAATGGGTTCAAACCTCTCGTTAAAAGGAAAAATAAAGACATGGTATTTGAAATAAAAAGCACTTCATCACTTTAGGAAAAATTTAGACATAAAGAGTGAAAAACAATGCATCAAATTTTCCCAAATATGGGAAATACCAAATCATAACAAATTATCATCAAAACCAAATATGTCTTTTTCTAATTAGATTGAAGCTCTGAACTAATGCCACACCCTGAAAAAGGCTCCAAAGAACATGTTTTAAACGGGGGGCCTGCTGTCCCACACAGCTCCCTCTGTGGAACACCACACACAGGCCCAAGGAATCACTGGCGATGGGAAGAGATCAGCCCTTGCCAATCCACAGAATTCCAGCAGATCCGAGCTCTCTGGCAGGATATGGCTGTACTGAGCACATCCTGTCAATTTAAAAATGCAAAGTGCTCACAGAACAAGGATAAACAGAAGAGTTTTGGTTGAATTTTTAACACAGTATGGAAAATGAACTGGGGAAGACAACTCTTCCCAAATGAATTACTGGCAGATGTCTGAGTGGAAGGTTCTGGTATGAAAACCAATCTCAGATCTGAGCTAAAACACTAACACATTATGTTGGCAGGTTTTTATTTTCATGGCCACAGCAAGAAACTCAAAATGCTTGTTTTAAACACAGTCTGAGTGTTTATACTTCTCTGGGATTAAATCTCCTTCTTCCACTCTTGCTGTCACTCAAAAAGTATGTGTTTAATGGAACAATATGGCTTCATACAAATCCCTAATATCAAAGAGAAAGTGTCATACCACAGAAAGGCATCCTGCTCACTTAGATAACAGCTCAAAGGAAAGGATTTCTTTGTGATGACCATGAAGGATTAACATCACCACATGCTTCAAAAGCACCTGGATGGGTTGAACTCAAACCCCTGCCCCTCACCTGAGGACGTGCTCAGTCTGTATATCCTAGAGAGCTCTATGCACATGCAGAGAGAACAGTTCATTCATGGCTTGTCACTGCTGAAGCCAATGGTAAAGATGTACATTATATATATAATATTTATTAATATTTGTATGTATATTAACTTTATAGGAAATCACTCATAAATTCTCCTCCAGAGAATCACCCTGAAAAGGGGATAGCACAACCCCTAACTTGGGAAAAATCTATCCAGGAAGACACTATGGGAAAAAAACACCTGAGGAATCAAATCAGTACACCTACAAAGAAAGCCTCAACTATGAGAAAATTTTGTATTTCACAGAACTCCTAAGTTTGATGAGATGAAGGGCAGACATTAAACAGAAACACTACTGATATCTGCTGTGGTATATTCAATTTTTCCTATTTGGCAGTGTTGCCTCAATTCTTTGGTCATAAACACCAGGCTGTTCTGGCTGAAGCTGGATGAACCAGATGGGCTGAAGCAAATGCTCCTCTTACTTTACTCCCAGGATCAGCAGGTTCAAAGGTGCAGAGAAGAGGCAATCCCAGAGGGAACAGTCCTCTCCCAGCTGCCTAATCCAACACAGGATTTGAGGAGCCATGCATGGAACTCCTCAGAAGCATGAGCCATATGTAGTCAGTCTGAAATACCATCAGTTTGGAGACTCTTTTCTTTAAGCATATTCCCAGCACAATGAAATGAAAGATTTCCTTTCTCTGGTCAGAACAAAAAGTTTTGTTTAGAATATTCCTACTGAAAAAAAGCCCCAACCGTTGTGCATGGAAAATTTTTATTTTATTTAAACCAGATTTTCAACAGGAAAATTAGTCTGTTTAGAGTTTCCTACAAGTTTCTTGCTGAGGACTGGTTGGATGTGCTGAAGTCCTGCATGACCAGAATATCAGCAGTCTTAAAACCACAGTCTGTGAACACACACTTGTAATTCCCAAAATGTTGTCTGGAAGCAACTAACCTGTGAAAGGATCTGGGGCAACTGGACTTGGCATCACTCAGGTGATCAAAATTTGTTTCTGTGAGGCTCTTCCCACATTATCTGCCCATTCTGAATATTTTATCCCATTCTGTTGTACTTGGAGAGAAGGAAATCAGGTTTGCTGAAAATGGGCATTACCGCATGCTCTAAGTTACTGGCATAAAAGTGTATCTAAAATATAAAAGTCACAAAAAACTTCTCACAAAAAAATTTCACACTTTGGTCCATTCTTTGTTGACACATCTCCCACACTCCAAAATGGATAAAGCCAGCAGAGACATGATTCCAAAATCTGCAGAGATCCTGCCCTGCCTGGGGCAACACCTCTATGGAAATAATTCTGGGGGCTACTCCTGAACTGCAGCTGCCTCGTGGAAGTCATCCCTATTTTGAGTATAGGTTGATAGGTAAGTCCTATCAAATAAAAGTCACTAAAAGAAACAGCTTTTTTACCTGAAAAGTGACCCCATAAGGCATTTCTACATGACCTTCCATTCCAGAGGGCTGGTACAAGATTAGTTAGCCTGGAAAATGAGTCAGTCACCAGCTTGAAAGGCAGAGAACCCCTGGCTGGGGCATCCTGAGGTGAATGGCAGCTTTGTTCTCAATTCCAAAGCAAAAGGATCTGCTCCATTCATCCCAACTGCTCAGAAACAAACCTAAACTCATGAACTTAATTAATTTTGTAGGCATCATTAACAATGCAGCAGTTCAATCACTGGATCACTAAACTAAAGCCAGCTGCACCTGCTGAGAGCTGTGCCAAAGCTAAATTCTACAGAAGCAAGGATAAGGTACAGTTAGATCCCAAAAGGAATAGCATGCAGTAGGATAAAGTAACTCTCTGTGGTCTGTTGGGCAAATTTATTTAAAGCTACAAAGAATCAAAAGCTAAGAAAGCTTTATAATGTTGTGAACGCAAGAAGGAGACCTGAAACAATAGAATGTGACTGTCACAACATCAAATGATTTTTCTTTTGTTCTACAAAGTTTAAATTTAAAACAGATTTTGAATTCAAATTGTAAACTAGGGCGTAGAGTCTGCTCAAATGAACATCTCCACATATTGACATCTGGGCCAGGCTGCCAATGTCCTCCCAAATTATGCACCCCCACAGTCTCAAGGCTTTTCACAAAAGCAAGCAATTTACAG